GATAGCGATCTTGCTTGTTAGTCCACAGACCACCTGTGTGAAAGCTGGACTGCAGTGTGATAACTTGAGGCTGGAGGATCTGGGACTACAGAAGTATAAATTAGTAATCTGAACTGTATTTTGAACCATAGTGGAGCAGTATCAACATTATCCTTTTTGAGGTGATTGGGGGAAAGGGAGTACATTAGTTTAAGGATAACACACAAAGAGGATGGAGAAGCCAAGGATTGATGAAGTGTTGGTGGCAATACTTTTCTTCCCAGAACCATGACAACGATATATAAATTATTCTGAGTTTGGGAACATGATGCCTGAAATAAAATATATAAAATACATTTTCAAAATTAATTACATTTGACCAAAACTATTTATAACCGTTCTGTTCTCATTGAATAATACTCGTTACTGAAAAGCACCATATACTTTAGTTTTTTTCTTACGATTGTATGGGAAATTTGGTTTTGTTTAGTTGGTGTTTAATCAATAGCTATAATCTAATTATCCGATTTGTCTTTTATATTTTAGTGCAAATTAGAATATCAAGCCTGCATCTTGGGTAAACAAATAACAGTGAAATGTGAGGGACATTGTCCATGTTCTTCAAGCAAATCAAGAAGTGTAAATAAAAATAAAAAAAGAGGTAAGATTATATATGTTTTTGTAAATGTAATAAAATTGACTGTTGCCAAAAGTATTAACAAATACATAGTACAAAACTCCTGTTGCCTCTCTGAGACAGGAAATGAAGGGAGATCTCTCCAATGGTACACAGAAAGAAGACAAATAACACAGCAGGGGTTTTTACTCCTCCCTACTCTATCTATAACAAAAAAGAAGGGTATACGTATATGACAGTTGATTAAACTGAGAAAGGACATTTTCTTGAGCTCATCAGTTCCTGACAGTTTTATTTCAGAGTTTAAAAGGATGGCTGGAGGGGCCAGATAGAAAGATGTTATATTATGTTTCACTTGTTGTTACAGATGGTGTTCTGCAGTAAGGCTGACTACATGACCATGACCATATTGTTTACTCCTCACAAGAAATAAACCCAGAGAGACATAACTGTAAATGAGTTAGCAAGACAAAAAGAGGCCCAAGGCAGAAATTAATGTGTCGGCTATGGTGATCCCTCACCTTGATTCGATTATGCTCATTTAACTCATTCATTCATGTTTTCATGTAAGCTGCTCTTTAAAATGTGGCCAATGATAGCTAGTGCAAGTGAGTTATTGGAAAAGCTGTAATGTGAATTTATGCAATTAGCTCTTTATGGACTGGATTTGTCTGTAGCTCATTGACTGGAGTAATTCCAAACAGAAATCATAATGCTTTTTATTTTATCTTTTTCTTTGTAAGCAGCTATAGTCTGAGTTGATATTTTGTAGCAGCCTGTCTTTTCTTTCTATTCCTTTATAGTAAGGGAGATATATATTTAGAAAAAAACAGTGTTTAGGCAACAGCCAAGTAGCAACCGTTACTCTGCTCCCTAATCATTGCATGTATTCAACTGCTCAGATGGGTCGAATACTTGCTCCCCACCCACTGCACTATTTGGTTCCTCCCACCAGCTGGAACATACTGTAGTGACATACAAGCCAGCAGAAGAAACTACAGAGGCAGGAGGGGAAACAAGTTGTCTTTGCGACTGAAAGTGTAGTGTAGAAGTGTAAAATCAAGCACCTGGGAAGTAGAGGGACAGTTTTTCAATACACAGGATGCCAGAAAACTAACTATATCCAAGCTTTTCTAACACTATCAAATAAATGTGACCCTGAGCATGGGGAAACCATACAGTATTTGGACATTTTATATACTTATATTGCTTGTTGTTCAACAACATAGCTTTACTAATCCTCTTATCTTCGTGTAAGTACATCAAAATTACTCTCTTAATAGCTTCAGATACCAATTCAGATGAAAACAGTTGTTCAAAGTAATATTCACAAAACTGCAGAAGAGGAACATGCATTTAAAATTCATGCTTTGTTTTTATATTATATAAAAAAAAATCTGTGTTTGTATATTATATCACTGTCAGCTTCCCTGTCTAGTGTCAAGGATTCACCTGTGGAGCTTTCAACCAGTCAGGCAGCTTGGGTCTGTCCACATCATACACAGTCTTCACTGCCTCATTCTGTTGATACACTTCACTCATATTCCCATTGCTCTGACTTTCTCTGATGAACTTTCTAAGTTCGATTGCATTTTGGCTTCTTCTCCTGGGTCCTCCCATGCTGAAGCCCTCCACACACCTGATGCAGCATTACCTTTATAGGCTTGGGTGTCCTGTCCATCCACAGGGGCATTGATGTTCATATGTCTGCAGGCTTTGGAGTGCCTTTTAATGTCTTCTGGTGCTGGTTATTCATGAAGCGTTACACAGCAGTGGTTGTCTGGTCTTAACAGAGATACAACTCTCACATAATATTCATAGTTCACAGATCAACCTTAGGAAAGAAAAAAAAAAAAAAACCCTTTGATTATCATATATACGTTTTGGTAGGTTCTTCACTAAAAGTCAAAGATGCTTTACATGAAAGGAGATTGTGCATTTAGATTTTCATTTTTGTGGCCTGCTTTAGTAACGCGGTAGTTTTTCCTTACATGCTGGTAGATTAACGCAGGGCCTTTGCAGATACTGCATTTTTGGAATGTCATGTTTGCTTAAAGGTATTAAAGTTGAACTCTAGGCAAATATAAAGGACACAAATTAGTGTTGCACTGTAACCATTAGTACATTATTAGCCCTTTTGCTGCCAGAGCTGTTTTTGCATTTTTTATACACATTTAAAAATCATTTTAGGCCTGAAGATTACATAAAAACCACCAAACATTATATATTTTCTGAAAGCAGACACCTAGAAGATAAAAATGGTAGTCCCAATAATTTGTCATACAATAATGGTGCAACAGTTTAGAAAATGCAAAATGTCAGTACAAAATACACTAAAGTTAATTTTAGGGCTCACAAATGCAAAAAAAAAAAATATTTTTGGTACATTATAAAAGCAGAGATTGTGCCTAGTAAATGGATACCCAACATGTCAAACCTTAAAATTATTGCCCTCACTCTAGCTTGTGCATCAATATGTAATATGTGCAGTGCAACTGACATTTTCAGGCATAGGCACACTGAACGTGTGCATTTTATATTCATACATTTATGTATGGGGGGGGGGGGGGGCTCTGAGATTTTTGGTGGTGGGAAAATTAAGTACTTGGGTGTAACTTTCATTTTTTATTTATCTATTAATTTACTTTTTAACTAAACTTGTTTTTTTTTTTTGTTATCACAGAGAACAAAATGTGCCCTATATGATGCATTTTTTTTGGAGACAAGGTCTCTTTTAATAAGACATCAGAGGGTCTAAAAGATCCCTGATATCTCACCTGCCTTCCAGTGACAGTGAGAACAGTACCCAGAGGTGACATTTTACACATCCCTTCTGTGTCAATGATCTCCCTCCCCTCTACCTGGTGGCACCCACCATGCTGATACTGGGTCCTCCAATGGACATGTGGAGCCCAGGAAACATGGTCTGGAAGCATTCGCAGAGGGTACCCATAGTTACTGGGAGTGTGTGTAAAACCTCAGTGGCATTGAAAGGGTTGGATTTGACCTGGTATCATCTTCTAGCATTTCTGGGTAGTGTGGGAGGAAGAAGCAGAACAAAAAGCCAATTAGTTTATAAGCTGACAATATATCTGTTAGGGATCCAGGTGTGACCAGAAATGTGTGGACTGACACAGGGAAGTAGCCGGCTTCAAGAACACAGGCGTAGTCAGGGCTGAGAGAGGTGGAATGGTCAGGCAGGCCATTTGGTACTGTTAAGCCGCCTGGCAGAGTCTCTAGCAACCCACCGCACGGACGCCCTCAGGGCGCAGGGTCTAAGTCCCAGCCTGCTGTTTACCAGGGCCCCTGATGGTGGGGATGGACTTGGTGCAGACTGGAACCAGGTCGCGACCCCCGAGTGCGACCTGCGGTGGTAGAGAGTACTGACAGGGGAGTGCAGGAACGGAATCTAATTTGGAAGAGGCAGACAGATACACTGGTCTGATCCGAGCCGGATGGATGGATGGAAGGTCGGGTACAGTATGCGTGGTCAGACAGACAGGCCGGGTCGGTATTATGCGGGCAGCGAGGTACAAGAGGAGCGAGCTAAGAATGGTCAGGTCACAAGCCAGGTTCAGCAGGGTGCGAGCAAATACAATACCAGGGATCAGACGGAAGAGTAGTCAGGCAAGCCAGGGGTTAAACAGGAGAAGAGCAGGATCAGTAACAAGCAGAGGTTGGCAACGGAGTATACAGCAACACAGGAACAGGCTACAAGGGCTCATGGGAAACATTTACACCAAGGCACAGATCACAGGCCTGGTCATTCCTTAAATACACCTGCTGTAATCAGCCCCAGGTGTTGGCTGACTGCAGAAGTGAGCATCTGGCTGCTGAGAGCACCCACTGGTCAGCCCTGGTACTGCAGTCCCACCACCAGTGCTGAGTCCATTCCTGACAGTACCCCCCTCAAGGAGCGGCCTCAGGCAGGCAGCGGGTGGAGCGGCAGGCACCGGGCCACCAGGCAGGGCGGCGGGCACCGGGCAACCAGGCAGGGTGGCAGGCACCGGACCCCCAGGCGGAGCAGCAGGCACCGGGCCACCAGGCGGAGCGGCAGGCACCGAGCAACCAGACGGAGCAGCAGGCACCGGGCCCCAGGCAGGGCGGCGGGAACCGGGCCACCAGGCGGAGCGGCAGGCACCGGGCCACCAGGTGGAGCGGCGGGCACCGGGCCACCAGGTGGAGCGGCGGGCACCGGGCCACCAGGCGGATCGACGGGCACCGGGCCACCAGGCGGAGCGGCGGGCACCAGGCAACCAGGCAGGGCGGCAGGCACCGGGCCCCCAGGCAGAGCAGCAGGCACCGGGCCATCTGGCAAGACAGTGGGCACCAAGTCACCAGGCGTGACAGCTGGCTCTGAGTCAACTGGCACGACAGCGGGCATCGGGTCACCAGGTATGACAGCGGGCACTGGGTCATCAGGCATTGGATCGTCTGGCAAGACTGCAAGCACCGAGTCATCTGGCAAGACCGCGGGCACCGAGTCATCTGGCAAGACCGCGGGCACCGAGTCATCTGGCAAGACCGCGGGCACCGAGTCATCTGGCAAGACCGCGGGCACCGAGTCACCAGTCACAACAGCGGGCTCTGAGTCAACCGGCCCGACAGCGGGCTCTGAGTCAACTGGCGGAACAGCGGTCACCGAGTCGTCTGGCAAGACTGCGGGCACCGAGTCGTCTGGCAAGACTGCGGGCATCGAGTCATCTGGCAAGACTGCGGGCATCGAATCGTCTGGCAAGACTGCGGGCATCGAGTCAACTGGCATAATAGGATCATCAGGCTGGATCAGTTCATCAGGCTGGGTGGAGACATCAGGCTGGGTGGAGACATCAGGCTGGGTAAGGGCATCAGGCTAAGGGGCTGGGTAAGGGCATCAGGCTGAATTGTCGGCGCCGAGGCACCAGGCTGCACCACGGAAGGCGGGTTCTCAGATGGCAGGCTGACCAGTTTGGATACTGGCAGGATGGTATTGGTTGGAAAGAATTTTCGCCTTTTCCTGGTTTTAGTTACCGGAGTACTGTAAGTAAGTGCAGGTTTGTAAATGGATGGAGCAGCTGAAGACAGGGAAGAGCCAGAGGATGGAACAAAGGAGAGAGCAGTTGCTACAGAGGGCTTCTTTACAGGGTAAAAGGCAGGATAGGTGCAGCAAGTGGGAACAGGGGACTGACATGTGGTAGGTAGCAGAGTATACTGGGCTGTCACCGGGGGTGCTGTGGGAACTGGAGGAAGAGAGCTTTGAGCAGAGTAATGGTTAGAAGCAGGACTGGGTTGTTGCAAGCTGACTGAGGCTGGATGTAACAAATCTGTCCATGTCTGCAGTACTGGCTGAACAAAGCTCAGCTTACACAAAGCCTGTCTGGTCAAAGACTGCACTGCGTTTTATACAATCCCTAAGCACCTGTTGTGAACATGCAGAATAATGCTCCAAGAAGCACTCCAGATCATCCTCTAATAACCATACCAGGGACTCTACCTGGTCTGCACTAAATGGTGGCAAAAAGTCATCTCTTCCCTCAGGGGCACCAGACGAAGCCAACTCTGCACAAACCTGAATTAATGGCTGCACCTCAGAGAACTCTGTGCCCTGATCCACTAGAAAATGAGCGATCCGTATGCATTCTAGCAGCTGATCCCTGGTATACTCCTGCAGAGTCTCATAGGCATAATCTCTGTCATCAAAGACTAGCAGACACAAATATACAACATCCTCAGGATGCATCCTTCACAACAATAAGCCAAGATGGCTTCCCTGTGCAGCCACTTCTGGTCAGGACAGGCCTTGGTGTTCTGTTAGGGATCCAGGTGTGACCAGAAATGTGTGGACTGACACAGGGAAGTAGCCGGCTTCAAGAACACAGGTGTAGTCAGGGCTGGAGAGGTGGAATGGTCAGGCAGGCCGTTTGGTACTGTTAAGCCACCTGGCAGAGTCTCTAGCAGCCCACCGCACGGACGCCCTCAGGGCGCAGGGTCTAAGTCCCAGCCTGCTGCTCACCAGGGCCCCTGATGGTGGGGATGGACTTGAGTCCATTCCTGACAGTATCCCTAAATCACTTACAACCTAGTCAAACACACGGACATGGTGTTTTCCATCTTTCCTGGCAAACAACCAAGATTTGCTTCGGATTGTGAATAACACATAGTCTGAGTTCTGTGAAACAATCACCTATCAAATCCAAATCTGTTTTGGGAAATGGGCAAGGTGGTGCTTCATGGTAGAATCATTGCTTATACCTCCACTTATAAGAAAAACCTCCTCTGTAAATACCCTGAGGCGAGCAATCATCTTAGACAGACGCAGAAAGATTTAGCGAATTGTAACTTGCACGAAAACAGGAAAGCATGGGCGGACGCTAAATACCAATTTGACACATGGGCAGTAGCCCAGGAATCTATATACCAATCTCATCTTGATCTGCATTATCATAAATTTGGCAACTAACCAGGCAAGCTGCTAGCACGTCTATGCAGAAAACCTTTTATCCCCACCCACTTTGCATCTCTGAGGGAAATTATTTCCATCTTAGAAAATTTCTTCTGAAACCTATACAACTCAGACCCTATAGATGTCGCTCAGGCCACCTCCTTTCTGGAACACATTTCTCTCCTGCATTTAGACCCAGCCACACTCCAATCCTTGAACGCCCCAGTATCCCAATCAGACATTTTACTAGCTATTAAATCTCTTACGAATGGTAAAGCTCCTGGGCATGATGGCTATACAGTGGAATTTTACAAACTCATGGCCGATGCAAAACTTTTATCAAAAATCATCGCAACTTATCTAGCTGCTATTTTACCCCCCCTTATTCACCCTTTGCAAGCGGGCTTCATACAGGGTCGCTCAGCTGCTTCAAACATACGCAAGGTATTAACAGTCTTGAATCAGGCCAAACATGTTTTTCTCTTAGACACAGCAATCATTTCATTAGATGCTGAAAAGGCTTTCGACAATGTCAATTTCAACTGGCTATTCTTAACCCTATGGAAATTCAGATTTGAGGGCCCGTTCATTAACCTGATCCAAGCTATGTACTCGACACCAATAGCCCACGTCTTAGCGGCAGGTCACATATCCAATCCCATACAACTTCACAGGGGGAACCAGACAAGGATGTCCCCTATCCCCTTTACTCTTCAATCCAGCCATGGAGCCTCTGGCATGGTTTTTATTATTTCACTCTGACCTCCATGGAATTACAATTGGTCAACAAGAACTGCAAATTTCCCTATTCGCAGACAATATATTAATTGTTACCTTTAATCCGTCCTTAGATCTGCCATATATTCAAGACATTTTCTCCAACTTTCGCCTCTGCTCAGGGCTTCGTATACATTTTTCTAAGAGTGAGGTTCTTCCATTATTTCACGCCCGCCCTCCCGTGTGGTCCCAAAACTATTCAAAATTGCTACTAATCACATCACATACCTAGGCATAAAGATAAGGAAACTAGCATCATCTCTATACACACTCAACTATACACCTATGATTAATAAAATTATAGGAGAATTGGAGATGTGGAAGGATTTACCGCTCTCACTTTTGGGCAGGTCACATCTTTTCAAGATGGTGAGCTTCCTGAAACTCCTATATGCACTCCAAACTATACCTCTCCTCCTGAGGCAAAGCGACATAACAAAGCTAAACCGGGCAATATCCAAATTTCTATGGAGGGGCAGATGTCCACGCATAGCATTGAATAAAATGTTCCTTCCGCGGAGTAAAGGAGAATTCGGCCTTCCTTACACCCGTGTCTACAACCTCTCTTGCCTGCTACGTATCTGCCTAGAATTGGCTTACCCAATCCTCCAGGTACTCTAACTACCATATTGAGTCTGCTATGGTCCACCCATTTAATCTCACAGCCCTCTTGCATTCAAATGTAAACTCTTTCCCATCCCATTTAAAACATAAGTCGCTCATTCGTGATACCCTCATTACATGGCGGGAAGTCAGATGTAAGTTGAGGGTCTCTCCGTGGCTCTCTCGCTTTCTTCCTATCCATCATAATCCCTCTTTTCTCCTTCGCAACTATAAGCAGCTTATGAAACCTGGGTCACTCAAGATCTCACTCTGGTACAACACCTGTTTGATACCTCTACGGGTTCCCCAAAGCCTCTTCATAACATTCAACAAACTTTTATGCTACCCTCACATCATTTTCTTTATATTTTCCAAGTCAAAAATTATGTCAACTCCGTTTCTCCACCTAAATCGACTAGATTCCGCACAACAAAAATAGATGTTCTAGCAAAATCCCGAAAATACTAAATATCAAACATTTATGGAACTTTAAATCTTCATTACACTAAACCCTTGGAATCATTTAACTCTGTGAATTCCTGGGTCAAGGACTTTGATAATGCCTTCACAATAGAGTAATTACTATCAGGTTTCAACACCACCTGTGCCTTCAATCTCAACGAGTTCTGGCGTGAACAGCTTAAGATCATACACCGTGCCTATATGCCCTGTCTTTATTTGAAAACTGACCCGACTCTGTCCACATGTCCACTCTGCGGCTGCCTCAAACCTTCATTACACCACAGATTTTGGCTTTGCCCATCTATATCTGTCTTCTGGAAGCAAGTGATCACTTTTACAACTTTTATCACCACTTTCTAATTGTCCAATGATCCGCTACTTCTTCTCTTTGGTAACATGGAACAATCAACTACAGGAATCTCCTCCTCTCAATTATTAACTCTCAGAAACAACAAACCATGGATATCTACCTGTCTCTTGATAGCAAGAAGGGCCATACTATGAAAATGGGTCTCCAACTGTCCTTTGACTTTACCAGACTTAAAGCAAGACCTCAACTCTCTCCTACGCCTAGACAGGCTTAACCTAGTCTCCTCACCATCCAACCACAGATCGGATCAATACCACCGGAAGTGGAAGCTCTACATCACAGGATCTCGATCCTTACAGGAGCAATCATTCTTCCTCCAGGACTCCAGTGTTTTAAGCCGCTCTATGAAACCTCTCATATGACATAATGTTGCCCTACCTACAGTAGGCAGTTGCTGTTTAGAAGCCTTGCTATATTATTGATGTGTAACATTTTTCTTTCTCATGTTTCTTCCCCCCTTTCCCAACTTTCTTTCTCTTCTTTTCCCAACACGGATTTGAACCCTTGATATGATATATGACACCATGCTATTTGTACATCTGCTGTCAGGATGCATCATAGGTTTATACCAAGCAACTGGAGTTGTCCACACCCTCCCTTTATTCTTGGTGGAATCCAGACCCATGGGCCTCCCTCCCCTCTGACCCCCACTCACTCTACTATTCTCTCTCGAACTCAGATCCAGCCTAACTACTTCTCTGCTCTTTTTTTTTTCTTTTCTCTTCAGGCTATATGGTCCCCCGAGTAGTGTTTGCTTCCTTTCTATTACCTCCCCCCCTTTCCTTTTCTTTTTCTCCTTTTCCTTTTCATCGTTCTTCCTGCTCCACAACTTAAACCTTAGCTGTCTCATCTGCCTCTTCTCTGTCTTCTCACACCTTCTCCTTCTACTTTAGTCTTCCTTTTCTTCCGTATTCTTTTGCTTTCTTCCCCGTGTACCCTTCTTTTTGTAGCTCATCCTTCTCCGTCTCTATTGTTAATTGTATACCTTCCTCTTCATGTTTTTGGTGGATATCAGCTGACATCTCTGTACACCCCGCTTATCCAGAAACAGATTACACCATACACTTTGTAGCCTTCACCAACTTCTTTATTCATTGTCTCTAATTGTCAGTCCTCTTCCTCTCACTCACCATTTCTCACAGCGCCTCCTTATTTAATTGTTTGCATCTGCCCTGGAATGGGAACTTTCTAATCCAAATGCACTTAACTGTTTTCATGCAATGTTCCTTTCCTGTAGAATGTGATTGGAGATTTCTACTTCTTAATTTTGACATGAAGTCCCATGTATGTCGCCTGTTTATTCGCCACAATGCTTGTTTAAAAAACCCAATAAATATTCATTAAAAAAAATAAGCTGACAAAAATCATGTTGATTGGAAGAGAATGCAAAGTAAGGAGAGGTGAGCTCATTACTGCGCTACTTCACCCTTCACTGTCCAGAGACAGGCATGGACAGGTCCTTGTTTGTTGTTCTGCTTTAAAATGATTGCAACTTCCTCCTACTTTGAAAAGATGAAGTATTTACTGTAACTGTAAGCCGTATATGTTGTGCTTAGCTTTACCTGTCTGTTCAGATATCAGTTTACTATGCTGAAGTGATCTTTCAGTCCAGTATTGAGTATATGGTATTTTTCAGTAAATGGGCAGAAATCACTGTAACAGATTCTTATAGAGGTTCTCAGCTGTTAGGATAATGGCAATG